TTGCTGGTTGAACCATTTTTCGCTTGCGTATTGGTTTAAAAGGATTGGGATGACTTAGATTGTCGCTTCCCCACAGACGGCGCCAAATGTTTATGCAAGGATATGCACAACAGTGTATTTCCGATTGCAGCTCGAACTCGGCCCCCGGACCGATCTGAATACCTGGGGCGGACCTGCACAAAAAGGTGAGCACTCCGAAGATCAAGTCAGTACAGGTCGGATTCTTAGTTTAGTTCGAGGTCAGAAATCATCGTACCTGATCGTGGAGTGAGGTCCTCTACTTATGGGTGGTAGTCCCGCTAATCTCGCGACGGTTACACCCGCTAATCTCGGGACCGTCGGTTACACTCGCTAATCTCGGGACCGTTGGTTACACCCGATAATCACGCCGCTGACAGCAGTTCACATCGGCCCTTACCGAGCTTCCCGGTAGGTCGGACCTTGGCCAGTTTCACCTCGGCCCTCATACTTAGCACCCATCAATGCTAACGGTGGTGATCTCGGCAGTCGAGCTGGGCATGACTCATAAGTCACCTTGGAGAACCAATAGGGGTCCTCCACGTGTCCAGGGTATTCTTTCCCCAAACATTTTCTTTTCACTTTTTGAAATGAATTTTTCCTAAATTTTTTCTATATTATGTGTTGCACGTTGGTTTACATTTAATTCATTGAGTCGTGTTACTAAAACGTTGTAATTTATGAATTAGTAATTTATCTGGTCTTAAGAGGTAATTATTTTTTCTACCTTATGACTAGCTATTAAGACTTCATGCAGGTGGAGTTGCATTTTAGTCGATGAAAATTTTAAGCCATATAGACTAGTCAATAATGGTTGTGGTGATTTTACTCTTTTATCCATTTTATACGTAAATCTTTTAACTTATTGTCAAATTTAAAATTAGAGAGGAAGATTCGAACTTTAAACCATTGTCTATATACAGAGACTTGTACGCCAAAACGTCCCTAGTAAAATCTAACACTTTCTTTCTTCTACCAAATTTATATGAATCTACCGCATAATTCAAATGAGTAAAAGTCAATGCTAGCAAAAAAGGAGTCTACTCTTACATGATCAAGTCAAGCACCTTTAAATCTCATCCAAATAAGTTAAAATTGGTTAAAATTGTGTCAAAATTCATCCATCATTATTTATTATGGACGAGATTTAATAATTTGGTTGGGTTTTATTTCTAATCTTTTCATTTCCTTAAGCTTTTCATAATCTACGCTATTTATTTATTTGTCTATTAAATTCTTGAAACTCTTCATATGGTTGGCTCAAAGGCTCTATAAAGTTATGCTTGTGGCCTTTGTAAAATCAAAATATAGAATTAAGATATAATGAAATGAGCATTTGAGCCTTTCTTTTAGTTAGGCGTGTAAATTGGTCGATTCGGGTCGGTTTCCCGTCAAAACCAACCCGACCCAAAAACTTTCGGTTCGGGTCTAATCGGGTGTCGTTTTTATTTATTTATTTTTAATTTTTTTAAAATCATCATCATCTAGCAGGCTCTCCGTTATCAACACCCTTCCAAAACCTCAGAACCTCGCCCAGAGATCACCTAAAAAAAACTTCATTTCGTAGGCAAAAAAATGTTGTTTTTTACAAAAACAGAGAAAAGATCTGATTTGGGCAAAATTTGATTTTTCCTCCTCTCTCTTCCTCTCAAAACCTACGTACCTTCAAACTTTCAAAATAACAACTCACATTCAAAATAAAAAACTGAGACTTCCATCAAAACCCACCTTCAAAATACATCAAAATCTAAGTCAAAATCGAATCCACCCTCAAAATCAAACACACCTTCAAAATAAAAAAATAGAGACCTCCATGAAAACCCGCCTCCAATCAAAACTCATCTCCAAACTAAAAAAAAAAGGAGAGGAAAGAAAAGAGAGTTCGTGTCTCCCTCGTCACTGCCATGAATTTCTTTTGTCGTTGATGTCAATTATCAATGGAGAAAAATCTATCGCCGCTGTAAATCGCTATCATGGCATCACAGCTAGCCACAGATCTTTCTCGCTGCCACCCTACTGTCTTGAAGGAGGGGAAGTAGGGAATGGAAGGGAAGAGAAGCGTCTAGAAAGAAAAGAAGGGAAGAAAAGTATGGTAAATATGTTTAAAAGAATCGGTTGGTCAGACCGAACCGAACCGATAGAGTTCAGTTTGTCGGTTCGGTTTGGTTCCTTTCACCCCTACTTTTAGCCAAGAGCTAATGTATTTTGCAATCTAGCTTGCATGTTTAGGATCATTCAAGTGAGACTTCATCTATCTTGGTTGTGTAGTGATTCAGATCTCAAACAAAGAACAAGTTTTCTTGCCTTCAGATATTTGATCAACAAGGTAATCCAGTTTTTGCTTTTCTTAGGTTGATTCCATAATCGTTTTTGGGATTTTTGAGTTTGTGATCTAAAGATCTTGTTTGTCAACAAGGTGTTAGATACAATTCTCAAAGATTTCATAACATATACCAAAAATGTTATCAAGGTTTCATAAAAAAGAATTATATCTCCATATGTTTTTTTGATCTTTCTGTCTTCTAAGTTTCTGTAGATCTCTTTCTTCTTTACAACTTTACTTTCTTTTGATTTCTTCTGATTCAGATTGCTTCATAGTGAAAAGTATCCATTTGAATAATCTATCATTCAAATCCAAGAAAATGTTCTTCATGTGTTTGTCTTTCTCTTCTTATTTTGTTCTTCACACCTTCATGTTAGATGTTATTTTAGCAAGTTTAGTCTTTGCTTTGATGTTTAAAGTAGCCATTAGCCATTTAATATTATAGTTACATTTTGACGAATTAAATGTGCTAGTTGGTTGACATTAAGTTGGGAGGTTACAATTTTGCTATTTATTCCAACAATTAATTCATCTTATTTTGCCAACTTATTTTATTTCTGAATTTCTTTCCATGAGTCAAGTTAACTTGTAGTTTTAATATTTTGCTCCATTTCCATTGAAGTCATAGACTAATTATAACCATGGTATTAAATATCCGTCGACATTTCCATCAACATGTCTATGTATATCCATGGGTTTGACATTGATATGAGGAATAAATCGACATTTCTATCATATTACGAAAAATATCGACAAAATGTGAAAAATATCAACAAAATGTTAGTAATATATACATAATATTACTATGGTCACCCGAAGGCTCACAAACGGCACATAACTTGGCAGCTATTCAGGAGAATTTATAACTCAGATGATTCTCCGTGGCTTATTGGAGGTGATATGAATGCAATCCTTTGGAATCATGAAGCATCTTATATTTCTTCCTATGACACTTCTCAGATTGGGGCTTTCAGAAATGTCATGGACTTCTGCTCTCTCACTGATATGGGGTTTACAGGCGGGAAATTTACATGGTGTAATAACAGATTTGCAGGAGACCAATTATGGAAGTGTTTGGACCGCTTCTTGTGCAATGATTCTTTCAATTCTTTATTTCCAGATGCCTCGATCATCCACCTCCCTTGGTCAAAATCAGACCACCGAGCCATTGGTTTGCATCTCTATGCTTTGCCTTCTTCACAAATAAAAAGATCTCACAAACCCGTCCGTTTTGAAGAATATTGGGTTCGCAATCCAGAATGTGAGCAACTTATTTCTGTATGGGAATTGGTCCAATGCAGTCCACAATTACTCTTTTGTTGACAGCATCCATGCTTCCTCGTCTGCTTTACGGAGTTGGGGTCAATCAAATACTCAGAATCTCTTCAAATAGATTAGAGCTCAAAAGACTGCACTTATGGATGCTTATAACTAGCCTCTTCCACTCGATTTTACTATCATCCATGATATTGAGAATGACTTAGCTGGACTTTTGGAATTGGAAGAGATTTTCTGGAAGCAGCGCTCTCGGGAAGATTGGCTTAAATGGGGTGATTGTAATTTTAAATGGTTTCATAAGAAGGCCACAATGAGGAAATCCTGCAACTATATTCATGGCATTGAGGATCAATACGGATGCTGGACAGAGGAGCCAAAAGAGATTGGAAATATATTCATAACCTATTTCCAAGATATTTTTACTTCCACATCCCCTCTGCCTTTGGATATTGATTCAATCACAACTCATATTCCCACCAGGATTACTTCGGAGATTAATGCTCAGTTGTTGGCTCCTTATAAATATGAGGAAATTGAGATAGCCATCAAATAAATGTTCCCAACAAAGGCTCCGGGACCTGATGGGTTTCCTGCTCTTTTCTATCAATCCTACTTGCAGTGGTGGGTCCTAAAACATTGGAGGCTTGTCTTAATGTTCTAAATGATGGTGGTGATATTCAAAACTAGAACTCTACTTACATAGCTCTTATTCCAAAGATTAAGCAACCATGGTCAGTCTCGGATTATCGTCCCATAAGCCTGTGTAACGTTTCTTATAAGATTATTTCTAAATCAATCACCAATCGACTCAAGAGTGCGATCAGTTTAGTAATATCTGATCCGCAGTCAGCTTTTGTCCCTTTCCGTGCTGTTACAGATAATATTATAATTGGCCATGAATGTCTTCACACTATCAACATTGCAAATCCGGTTTAACAGGTATGGCCGCTTTAAAACTTGATTTGAGTAAAGCTTTTGACTGTGTTGAATGGATCTATCTGGATTGTTTGATGCGGAAAATGGGTTTCGATGGAAGATGGATTCAGCTCATCATTCTCTGTCTGTCTACTGTTAAATTTTCGATTCTTTTAAATGGCTCTCCAAAAGGTTGTTTCTCTCCATCTAGGGGTATCAGACAAGGAGATCCTCTTTCACCTTACTTGTTCCTCATGTGTGCTGAAGGCCTATCTATGCTGATTAACCATGACACCAGTGCAGGTCGCCTTACAAGTATACATTTTGAGGACAGTATCACATCTATTTCTCATCTACTTTTTGCAGATGACAGTCTCATATTTTTTAGATCCATGGAATCAGAATTTCTAACACTTAGGAGACTTTTGGATGTTTATGGGAGGGCATCGGGTCAATGCATCAATTTCTCAAAATCCGCTCTACTCTTTTCTCCAAATGTCCATCTCGACAGACAGCAGTACCTTCAGACCATTCTAAATGTTAATTTAGTTGCTCACTTCCGGAATTATCTTGGATTGCCCTCTCATTTTACAAGAAGAAAAGGTATGGATTGGATCTTCCTAAAAGATAAATTTTGGATAGTAATGCAGTGTTGGRAGCGCTCTTTCTTCTCTGTCAGAGGCAAAGAGGTCCTTATTAAAAGTGTTGGTCAGGCTATTCCATCGTATGCTATGAGCGTTTTTCGTCTACCTAAAGATTTTTGTGACGATATTGCTCAAATGTATGCACGTTTCTGGTGGGGCTCAACAGATGAATCTCGGAAACCTCACTGGATGAAATGGGAAAAATGTGTCTACCAAAAGAATTTGGAGGTCTTAATTTTCGAGATCTAGAAGGCTTTAACCAAGTTTTGGTGGCTAAGCAGGTTTGGCTGAGTCCTCCAACACCCAAACCTCTTAGTTTCAAAAGTTTTGAAAGCCAAATACCTAAAAGACACCAATCTTCTCCAAGTCCGGAAAGCTACTAATTCATCCTACTTTTGGAAAGGATTTATGTGGGGAAGAGACCTCCTTGTGAAAGGTTTAAGGTTGCGCGTAGGGGATGGATCCACAATAAAGGTGTTCTCCGATCCTTGGCTTCCAAGACCTCTCGTGTTCAAACCTTTAACATACAACAATGAAGTATGGGACATCACAGTGGCAAATTTAATTACTTCAGATGGAAATTGGGATGTTTCATTGCTTTCACATTTATTTTGTGAAGAAGACAGAGATTTGATTCTTTCTATGCCTATAAGCTCCTACAATTTACAAGATTCGTGGCTTTGGCACTATGATAAGAGAGGAAACTATAGTGTTCGTAGCGGGTACAAGCTATACATGCATCTTAAATGTAATGAAACTTCTTCTAGCACAAATTGCATGGGGCAGCAATGGAATTCTATTTGGAAGCTTAAAGTTCCTTCAAAAGTTAAAATCTTGATATGGAGAGCAGCACATGAACATATTCCAACAGCCTAGAATCTTCACTCAAGAGGAATCGATATCTTACCTGTTTGTCTTCTCTGTGGCGCCAGACAAGAGAGCTCTACTCATGCCCTTTTTCCATTGCAAACGTGCGAGGCAGATTTGGAGGATCATTTTCCCATCTTTACCTTGTTTCCCTGTAGAAGTTACACAAAATTTTATGGAGTTCTGGAGGCTTCTCTCGGTTTTTTTAGACCCAAATGAATTGAATTTGGCATCAGTTACCTGTTGGGGCATTTGGATTGATCGAAATGCTCTTACACATGGGAAGCAGATTCCCTCCCCTGAAATTAAATGCGAGTGGATAAATTCATATCTCAATATTTATTCACAAGCACAGATGGGCATCTCTCAACCTCAAAATCGGCCTACCTCGCGTCAAAGGGTTCATCAATGGAGGCCTCTGTCAGATACTATTCTGAAATTAAATACTGATGCAGCGTGTAGGGCCAATTCTACGAGTTTGGGTTGTGTTATTCGAGATTCATTGGGTACACTTTTTGCTGCAACTTCTATTCGCTTTCCTTTTCCGTTGACACCGTTACTTGCTGAAATCAGAGGCATCTTGGAGGGATTGAAATTTGCGGCCTCTTCATCCTACTCTCGGCTGGAGGTTGAGTCAGATTCATTAACGGCGATTCGATTAATCCGGCAGGAGCTTCACACCATTGGAGATGAACAAAATTGGCTAGTGGAGATTCAAGCCCTAGCTCAAGGATTCGATTTTGTTTCTTTTACCCACTGCTCACGGTTTTGCAATCTCTCTGCCCATACTTTAGTAAAATGGGGAGTTAATTTTCTTTCTGCCACATGTACTTGGGGAAATTTGAATTTGTGACCATTTCAATAACTGAAACTGGATAAATGACCCCATTTTAAAAAAACCTAATTTGTGACCCCTCCACCCCTTATTTATGATCACTTAAATATTTTATTCATGGGAAAAGACCAATTTACCCTCATGGTTAATAAATGTGCATTTATGATTTCCACCTAACCATTTCACCAAACCGTAAACCCATATTTTACATATGTTTGAACTTGTTAATATTATAGATTATGTATAACTCACAGATCACGTTTTCAAAATCCGCTCAACTACGTACGTGTTTGATCTTTCTTTGTCCCCACACTATCCAAAATCATTGTCCCCACAATTTCACTTGAGGTATGTTACCTTTACACAAACTTTTGTACTCTATAATTGTTGAACTTTTTTTAAATATTTTCCCATTAATAGGTTCAACTACTAGATTTGGCTGTTGA